GCCACAAATAAAATTATGCAAATGTGGCAGTATTCTTGTAAGAGTCGTCCAAAAGTTAGATAGATCCACTCATAATATTTGGAATAAGAATATATATTTATATTGCAAAAGATTATATTTTTAATTACATACATTTATTTTTAAATATGAATGAAAATAAGGGTGAATCCAGAAAAAAATATTAAAGAGGACTAATTTTGTTATTTGAACTGAGTTTTTTAGTAAATACATTTTGGTTCGATGAGGGAAATTTTGAGTTCAACTTATTCACATACTTAAGCAATCTGAATTTAAACAACTAATTAAACTTATTTATTATAGGGCGTCCTCCTCCCACCGGCCAGCTTCTATGCCTGCCGCCGCACATTGAATCCAGACACACATCTCGCTCACCGTTACTCGCTTCTTGTCGTCCATTCACACCCTTGTCCAAACCTTGGTAGACGGCGGCACAAAATACGCGGCGCTAACTCGTGGTCGAAATACCCACCTCAATCAACATCGTTGCATGCCGTCGGCTAAATTCCCCCTCCAATCTCGAATCCACCAGGTCCTTCACCCAATCCAAACCCACCCTGCGCCAAATCCCCTTCTTCATGCTCCGCACAAAATTCACGAGAACATATCCCTACTAATCGTCTTCCCACTTGCAAACCCTAACCCCTTTCACCATCTCCAGAACCACCACCTCAAACCCAAACACGTCGACCGTGGTTCAGCGACCACTCCGGTGCAAGGTATCCCTTCGTCCCTCTATTAATTTGGGCAAGCTCCAAACCCGCCACGCCCCTCTACGACAGCGTCGCTGGCGATGCCACACATGGGTTAGGCGCTGTCGATTGGTGACGGAGAATGATGCTGATGATGGCCTGTGGGGACGGCGGCGGCAGCGACAGCCTGGGCTGACGATGCCGGTGGTCTGGGGCGGCTGTGGCTTGGTGGTTACAACGGTTACATGGCTGACGGGTCTGAGAATGATGTTGACGGCGGCTTGTGGTGACGGCGGCGACGACAGCCTGGGCTTACGACGGCAGTGGTCAGGTGGCGAATGCGGCCTGGTGGAGACGGGTGTGGTTGAGGGCGTGTGTATGTGTGATATATATATATGTGCAGTGTGTGTTTTAGGTGTAAGTGTGAGAGACTGACAGAGAGTGTGTGGGATTGGTGGTGGGCTCCATGTGTGAATTTGTAATGTCTGTTATACATTTGACCACAAAATGTATATTTATTTACGAAATTGTCACCTCATGTTTGACTAACATATTTATAGTTTGACTTGATAAATACCACTGACTTGATAGTATAACATGATTAGTTTGACTTCGGTTCGTAAAATTCTCTCATCTACAATTTGTCATATTTTTTTCAGTGTTGAATCAAACCCATCAAATGCTATTCTCTTAAAACAATTCATTAAGTTATCCATGAATCAGTCAAGAATTGGTCAACAACAGGTCAATGATGAAAACTAATATAGAAGCCATAAAAAAATCTAGTTCAACTCGCCATGAATGCCACGAAAAATGAATGCCCAAGCACACAAGTCTTGTTTTACACAAGCCATGCATCTTACGTGCCAATTCATACACAATGCTTCAACAAGAATGTAACATATTTTAAATTCATGTAAGCACAAAAAGAATGTAATATGGATCTTATTCTTGTGCGTGTTAAACGTGAGTTCAATGGGTTTTGGTGGATGAGGACGTCCTTCTACTCAATTTGAACATTACCATCCTTGCAATCTTGTAGAACCAAAATGTACTCACCAGCTGTAGCCCCAAAGCCATTGCCTGTCAATTAAATTTTCCAACCACTTGTTTAAAGTTAGTGAGCGACCTCTTATTTTGTTCACATCATACACAAACTCCCTCATATTATTGAGATTTTAGATTTGTAATTAATTAGAAACTTAGTTCAAAATTTATGCTACTTTCTTTTGCACGAAATTGACATAAAATAAAACTTATTACACTAAATTGCAATTCCAAGAAGTTGGCGGACAAAATAGAAAACGACCAAAATTATTAGATCAAAGCTGCATTTTTTGCAAAAAGTTATTATGGTCACATATGAAAGAGTTTACTATTGAGACATGATTTTATTTATTAACACTAATGTTACTGATAGCTTTTTAATATTGCTGGTCGACTCGTAATATATTTTTAAAGAAAAATTCATATATAATAAATGAAATATCCAAAGTTGGTTTTAAAGTATAATATTTCAATACAAATTAAATATACTAATTTGCCATAATATAATTTCCTCACCTTAAGGTAACATCAACTGTAGTATTATTTATCAAATGCCATGGCCTAACACCACAAAGTAATTACACTGGACAGTGGAATCATTGAACATCACACTACATTATTAATTAAATGAATTATTAATATGAATTATTACCTTAATTAGAAGGGGGTTATGTGCAGAAAGGGTGACATAAGTGAGATATGGCCCACCAATCATCCTCGCAAATGTGAAAATGGCTGCAAAAGCAATCTGCACCACCGGCCACCAGATCCCAACCACATTAATAATTTAGTTCGAGTCCCCGTGAAAATAAAGGCTACTCGAGAGAGTTTTCCCACAATAAAAGAAAACCAATTAAATTTAAATTTATCTATATAAAAAAAAAAGATAAAAAAAACAAATAAGTAAATTTTAAATTAAAAGAAGAAAAAAACTAACATCAGCAGCCAAATTGAGGTCAGTATCTTTATACCCAAGCTCTTTTAGAAGCTCCCTTAAATGCAAGAATGGGCTTGACATCTCTGTAATCCACAAGGCTGCCACCATTTCTGATCCACACTACAATTTTACATTTGTTTTTTACCAAAAAAAAAAAATCCAAAATAGACAAAATGAGGAAAATAATAAATATATATTTTTAAAAAATAAATTTACCCTTTGATAAGCAAGCCCAGCAAGAAGACCAACAATGCTGACCAGATGATGAATTGCATTGTCAACCTTGACTTTCTTGTCAAATACACAGCAAACCAAATCATATATCAAATATGCCACTGATACTGCAATTGTTTTCATCTGTCCATGCATATGTTCACAAAATCATATTCATATTCATTTAATTACAAATAAGTTTGATAAATCTAGCTAAAAAGTTGGGTGAATAATAGCTAACAAGTTAATAGGTAGTTAATAAGTTAATTTCGAACTGACAGCTAATAACTCTGGCCCATAACCGATAAGTAAAAAAATTGTTGATATAGTAAAAACTAAAATTTTCTTAAATAAAAATCTCAATTAACTTTTTTAAAACGCGAACTGTAGAAAAAGTTATTATAAGTTAATTAAACTAGCTGTAACCTAGGTTAATTATAATTAATGTTAACAAAGACACTGTAAAACTAATTGATGGCAAGATGCTTATTGCTTACAGAACACAAAGAAAATAAAAAAAAAATAAAAAAAATCCAACCTACACCAACATTTTTGGATTTTGAGTTCAAATTTCTTCAAATATTTTGGAATATCAATCAGCCTCAGTATTTTAGTCTTTTCCCAAATCAACCCCTCTGAAAACGTAAAATTCAGATTTAATAAACACTACAGTACAGTACCTGGTTAGGGGAAGATTGAGAAGCGAGAGGGCAAACCGGGCAAGCCCAGTCTTGTACGGAAAGGGACGCCAAGAGCACGGCCGAGCAAGCGTGAGCCGTCGACACAATGCGGTTGCAAAAATCGAAAGAACGGCCTGAAAAGGCCTTCCTCGTCACCAAAAACAACGTTGTCCATGAGATTACTCCCAAAAATATCACCTTAACCACATAATCCTCCATTTGACCCCAAAGCTCTTTAATTTATTTTATTTTTTTTGGTCTTTTTTTATCTTTGGGGATGCAGGACAAAAGGGTCGGACGAAAATGCTTTGTAAAGGAGAGAATAGTAAATATGGAGTCATTTAAGTTGTTTTTTTTTTATTATTTTAGGTGGGGTTTGGTTGCTAGGCATAGGTAGGGTACATGCTTTTATTAGGAAATTTTATATTTTTATTTATCATATTTTAAAGCATGTTATTGTTTTATTAGTATAAGAGTGAATATTTATTAAGGAGTTGTCTAAGTCTAATAATAATATAATATACATAGGCCTTTTATTCAGACTTGTCGATCGACTCGAAGTCAAAATCGGTTAACAAAGGACAAGATCAAACCCAGTCGATTTGGCATTCATCTGGTCGACTAAGGGATTGATCTGGCCGAGTTAACTCGGTTTGACATGTCAATTATAATTTTTCAATTTTTTTTAAATATTTTTATTTTAAAAATGAAAATTGTGTATTGATATTTATGCTGTATATCTTTAAGTTTACATATAAAGTACTTTAGTTATTTATATATATACATATAGTTATATTTATAAAATAAAAATAATATATATATATATAACTTTAAATATTTTCAAATTAAATATCTTATTGAATCGGTGACTCGGAGAAAAGCGGCTTTTAGAGCAGTGCTAATACCAATTATACCATTTTCAATTGCATACATAATTTCATGCGTAAACGTACGTGAACGTCCAGAGCAAGTGGGGTATATGTCTAATTTATTCCCTTTTGTGGCCAAGATACAGGCAAGCAGTATTGTTAGTTGTTGAGCTACAATTAATGGGTGTAATTGAGGCCGACCCAGGCTTTAAGGACAGCAGGAGCACAAGTTACGATTAACGGTCAACACCGGATGTCAACGGTTAAATCAATATTAATAGTTAATCATTTAAAAAAATAAAAAGATTAAATATTGACCAGACACTTTGTTTCCTATTTAATAGTTGGGGTTGAATTTCACATCCTCATTTTAAGAATAGGAATGCATTTGATTCAATCTCTATAGGCATCGTTTACTTTGCGTGACAGGATTAGATAAAATAATCCCAGCAACTTTACACGTCAGCTTTTAGTCCAGTGTGTATTTTGTGGGATGCAACTTTGTGAAAGAAATCCCTCATTTACTTCCATGGACTATGTGATAGGATAAAAAGGCAAAAGACTCATATACCCTTCTCTACACACGTATGCATCCCCCCGACATTATCCCTTCTTCCTCAAAATAAAATGTGCCCCTCTTTCTGAAATTATGAAATTGAAATCTCGCCTGAAATTGAAATCTCGTCCGTCTTCCTAAAAAATTTCGCATCTTCAAAATTGAGTTCAACGACGAGTGCACGATTACGGGTGTTTTAAAGTGCGGGACGAGGACGACGTTCTGAAATTGTAGATGTGTGTGATCGGCTGTGTTCGGACGGCATTTCAGGGACGACGGGCACGAATTGCTTCTGAAAATGAATTGCTTCTACAAATTGTCCCAATAAATTTGGCTTTCTTAGAATCGAATTCATATACAAAGCAAACAAACACAAAATCGCAGAGGCTTCACTCAGATTTACGAAATTAGTGCATCCAAAAAGAAAGCAATAAAAAAAAATTTGTACCTGTTGAGTGCTCGAGAGAGATCGTAAGTCGGAGGAAGACGATGAACACGAGCAGCTGAAGGAGAGTTTCACTTTTCTGCACTTAGGGCAAATGGGCCGTTTTTTTATATGGTATAAGGTGGTAAATTCAACTACATTTCGCATACAATTTTGAGGACAAAATGGTCCATCAGAACAAGGGACAAAAAAATCCGGGGCTAAAGCCGGGATTAATTGTATCGGCGTATTAAGGATAAACTGCGGGACCCGCAAGCCACGTGACGGCCACTTAGGATCTGGCCAATCCCAACCCTGTGAGGTAAACGGAGGATATGGGGTGATCAAATCTCGTCCTCCGAAGTAAACGTGCCCGTAGAGTATATACATTTATGTATCTATCATTATATAAAAATAATAACCTTTTTACAAATTTAGAAACATTTTCCCGTCAAAATCATTAAATATATCCTATATATAGTAATTGTTGGACAAATCTGAATAGGCAAAAAAATCGACTCATTAATTGTGTAAGGATTTGTTTCTCTTTTTCATGTTTTTTAGTTTATCAAAACCGTTGTTTGACAATAAATATTTGTTTTTTTTTTCTTATTTTTAGTATAAATCTACATGAGTTTATCTCTTCTGACAAAATCCCATTGCATATGTCTCACGTATTTAAAAAATATCATCCCTTATCTATACAGATTTAAAAAAATAAAATAAAATAGAAACCAATTCATAATTACTACTAGAAATCCATTATCTTTAAAAAGAAAAAATAAAATAAAATAGAAACCAATTCATAATTACTACTAGAAATCCTCTATCCATTATTTACTTCAAGAACCTAATTTTCATCGGTTTAATTACAAATATTTATACAAATATTATAAGCTAACCATACAAAAAAGTATAATAATAATTTTGAAATGGTGTATAATCATTTTTTTTATATTCTCTTATACAAAATAATTTTACATTGTTTGACCCCGAATCTTTAATTTATAATTATTAAGTATTATTTATCTTCCTCTTTAATTTGTAATTATTATATTTTTTTTTCCTCTTTTTAAATAGGATCAATAGTAGTTTCCACTTCCGCCATTGAGTGACTTAAACTCGAGGACTATTTATAATATTGTTAATTTAATATTGTTCTCGTGCATCGCACGGAGTACACACTAATTTTGTGAAGGAAAAGGAAATAAATAAAAAAATGAGTATAACATAAGTATAAGTTCCACAACTTAAAAAATAACATACTATTGAAGGTTAAATGATTCTAAACATTTTATTTTCTTTATATATTAAAATAACTTTGTATAATAATTAATAACATGTATTTTTTATGTCAAAATAATAATACACATATAACATATATATACTAAATGATTTTATGTTTTTATTTTTTATTTTTTTGGGAACCATGAAAATTATATAAATGACACATTTATATTTAGACAACAGTAAAAAATAACTAAACATCTACCCAACTGAATTAGTGGAAGAACAATCCAAAGGGCAGTGTATACTACTTAGGGGTGAACATGGGTCGGTACGGTTCGGAGATTTCTCAATCTCCGAACCGTACCAAAATTCGGAGATCACTAAATTCGATCTCCGGAACCGTACCAAAAAATCGGGAGGGTTTGGTTCAGAGATTTTTATTTTTCAGTTCAGTTTGTTTCGGTATTCGGGACTATCCGAACAGTTCAGTTCGGTTTGGTTCGGTTTGGATCTCCGGTTATTTCTTAATTTTTTTTTTAAAAGTTAATGACTACCTCGTTATGTTTTAATTTTTATATGCTTTAAAAACCAACATTCATTAATACTTCATCATATTGAAGATTTTATTTTGAAATCAACTTTAGAAGTAACTCTAAATTTTAGTTAAGACTAAATTTGTACAACTGACATTGAAAATTTAAAATTCAAACAAAATATAATATAACCTTTTAAAAAATATATATATTTTTTTCAATCTTTTATACCATTTTAAATGTAAGATAGAATAAGACTAAGAAAAGTATCAACAAATCTAAGTAAAGCATAAATGTCTTTTTTAAACTTTCATACCATTTTAAATAATATTTATTGTAGATCAAGTATTGCTAAGCATGAAATTTAAGTGAAACTTGATTGTTATTGGAAAATACTACAGTCGAGTTACGGAACCACTCGTTGGGATTTTTTACTCTAGATTATCTATCATCACTAATCTACGTGGTGTATCCACGGTTACAAATTCCGACGGGACTGTAGTCATCCCTGTTGTTATTAATGTATTTTACTTGCATTTTAAATATTCTCAAATTATATAGGATCAAAGTTGACATAAAATTTATTAGTAACACACATCTAATGTTACAATTCGGTTCTTAATTTCGGTTCAGTACGGTATGAGACAGTTCGGAATTCTCCGAGTCCTATGCTCAACCCTATGTGGTAGTAATAGGGCTGAGCATGGGACTCGGAGAATCCCGCACCGTCCGAAAACCGAACTGAAATCACTCTGAACTGAAAAATAACCGTTGACCATTTGACTTTCTCCGATCCGAACCGAAATTGGTACGGTTCTGAAGATTTCATAAATATCCCTATCTAGAACTGAACCGAATCGTCCCATACCGTACCGAACCGAAAAACCGAATTATAAATAGATGTGTATTATTAATGGGAATGACTACAGTCCCGTTACGGGATCATTCCGTTAGTATTTTTAACCGTTAGATACACATGTGGATTAATATAGATAGTGTAGATAATCTACGGTTACAAACATTGACTGATTCATTCCGTCAACGGGACTATAATCATTCACGTTTTTAATATATTTTATGTCAACTTTGATCCTATAAAATTTGAGAATTTTTAAAATGCAAATAAAATACAGTAATAATAATTAAGTTTCACTTAAATTTAATGCCTAGTATTACCTATAAAATTTTCAGTTATTAAAAAACTATTTAAAATGGTGTTTTGGGAAGTTGCACACTAATTAAGAATAATTTTTTTGCAAATAATAACCCTCATTAATGAAGATAGAAATGAATGTTTTAAGAAAAGATGAAGACTGAATATAAAAACACGTAGTGTATTTATTAACTAAATGAGGGTAATAATGGAAAAATATGTACAAAATATCTAAAACGTCATTAATTTAGTTAATGGTTGATAAAGCCAAAATGACATTTAAAAAGAATAGGAGATAATATTATTTTTTGTTTCAATTTAAAATTTTCAATATTAGTTGCACAAATTTAGCCTTAACTAAAATTAGATTCAATGTTTTAAATACCGGTACGTACCGGCCGGTATTACCGGTAATACTGGATACCGGTGGTCCGACCGGTATGATTACCTTCAAAATACCGTTTTGGCTAAAATACTGGTTTATACCGACTTCATACTGGAAAATACCGATTTTACTAGACAATACCGACCACA